AAAAATAATATTTAAGAAATACTTGCTTTTGATCTGAAATATTTAGCAAACATATAAATATTTCCTGAATATGTATGTAATATTTTGTGCTATCTGGGATATAACAGCTTCGATAAAACACCGAACTTTGTCGCTTTCAAACTTCCATTGCTCCTGGAAATCAACTGGAATTTTTAATGTCTCCAAGTAGTTATGAACTGTACGGTTTCCTTAGGATCCAACATCTACGTGCACCATCTAACATGCTATGGAAGCCATGGAATCAGCATCTCCGTCGGATTTAGCAATGATTCCATAGAGCAAAACACTCTTAGCGACGTTCTTATAGAGGACGCGCTCATTTTTGAGGCAATGTCCGGAATCCACATTAAAACGCATATCGACGCCGGCGTTGGACTGATCAGAAACGTTACGTATAGGAATATTGGGATTATTGGTATGCATTACTCGGGTGTGTTAAAGGAACCGCAGATACATAAGTTATTGTCCTCTATAGGGAGCTACAGCTATGGTATATGTATCGAGCAAAATTACACCAATAGAGCAGTGCCAAACACGGGGGCGCCGCCTCTAAGCAACATTCCCATTGTCAAATTGAATTTTTTCAATGTATTTGGGGCCGTTAAAGCAGCGGCGCTCCCCTACTATGTGATTTGCGCTAAAGGAGCCTGTTCGGATTGGAATTGGAACTTTGTGCATATATTCGGTCAACGGGTGAGCGTCTGCGTCAATTATCACCCAAATGATGTTTCATGCATGGATTACACCGTTTAAATCAATTTTATGGTCCAAGTACAAAGGAGATTGATCAATAATGTATTTTAACTGTGTTTCATTTTGTGTGAAAGTGGAATTGTTCCCAAGCTAAATTCAGTTGGCGCCAAATATAAAATTGAAAAACCTGTTTGCTTTAAAAATAAACTTTCTTCTCGGGCCAACGTTTGTTACTAACATTTAAGCTTGGACTAGTATTTACAACAATCAGCAGACACATTTCAAGGATACCTTTAATCTTTAGTGTCCCGGCGCACACAGCAATGTATCACTTGTACCGATTAGCGTGAAAATACTTGGGTTTAGTAGGCAAAACTGCTGGTTTCATCATGTCCTATTCGTTATCCCTGGAGCGCTTTGAAGGAAAACTCGCTGTTGTAACAGGAGCTTCATCCGGAATAGGAAAAGCCATTGCAGAAGGCCTGGTGAAATATGGACTGGTGGTAGCGGGAGTAGCCAGAAGGGTGGAACGCATCGTGGAGCATGCCAAACAGTTGAGAGGAGCAAAAGGTAAATTGGTAGGCTTCAAGTGCGACCTGACCAAAGAGGAGGATATCCTAGAAACGTTCGATACAATCACGGAGGAACTTGGACCAATCCACGTGCTGGTGAATAACGCCGGAGTTCGCTTGGGGGGCACAGTGATCGATGGCGATATTGAAAAATGGAAAACCATGCTCAACACCAACGTGTTGGGCTTGGCGATCGCCACAAGAGAAGCGGTGAAAAGTATGAAGGCCCACAACATCAAAGGGCACATAATCAACGTGAACAGTGTGGCTGGACATGCAGTAACCGAATTTCCACGGGCCAATTTGTATCCAACTACCAAGTTTGCTGTTACGGCCCTGACCGAGACCATTCGTCTGGAAATCAACAGGGAGAAGCTGCCGATTAAGATCACCAGTCTGAGTCCTGGTGTGGTTTTGACGGAGTTTCGCGAGATCGCAGACGGGAAAGAATCAGCTGAAGCCAGCCTGAAAAATCCAGCCTTGGTAGCTGAAGACGTTGCTGATGCAGCCTTTTATATTTTATCCACCCCGGAACACGTCAATGTTAAGGAGCTTATTGTAAGCGTGCAAGGCCGATTTGCTTAGTTTATCGGTATTTCAATTAATGTTTATGAATAAAAATTCTGATGGAAAATTTGGCGTTATTTTTAAAAAGGGTCATTTGAGCCCGGCAATGTCAATTTCCATTTTTTTAAGTACGTGACTAAGCTTTTATTATACAGGGTTGTTCACGCTATACGGCTAGCCCGTTTGTTTTTTTTGCGAAGTATTATTTGATGAATCCACAGACGCCTATCGAGTGCACATTTAAAAAATATTTTTGCAACGTACAGAGTGTCCGAAAATCCCTAAAAGTATCAAAGTTGTGTTTTTCTAAATGAAATACCCTGCATATTATTGCATTTTTGGATCCTCTGAGCAAAATAAGTGTTTGTTTTAATAAGATTTATAATGTCTAAATCTAAAGGTTTTTTAAATAATTCGAA